GGCAGCTCTGTCAGTCCAGTCCTAAGTGACCGCATCCAGAAAAGCTGCTTCCTCACACCATGACCAAGTTTCTAAGCTCTGGTCTGGGAAGGGAAACAATAGCTTAGTGAAATGCAGGGGCAGATATTGTGTAGCTTGGAAAACATCCTGGAGGACAAACTCCTAATTTTGGGAGGCTGGCTGTAATGAGGCAGCAATCTTACTCCTACAGCAGCCAGTCAGACCAAATAGGTTAGGTCTGGCCAAGCCCAGGTCTTTTCCACCTGGTGGAGCTGGCTGGACCCATTTCTGTGATGGCTCTGTGAAAATTTCAGCTCTAGCTCCAGCAAACTCTCCATCATTCCCAGCAGCATCAGGAACTGGAGCCCGGGGGGGTGGGGGGTGTGGTTGGAGGTGGAAGGAAAGGTGCGTGACGTGTTGGTGAGCTCTGACTCCTCTTCTGGGGACAGGCCCATGTCCCTGAGCCGATGTGCCCGTGGCAATGACAGCGCAGAACTGCAGTTTGCCATCTCGGACCCCACCCCTGGTCTGCAGAACAGCTGTCCCCAGGATGCCTTCGCAGTGGACCTCCACCTCTGCCTCCTGACACCCAGTGAGTGTGTGGAGCTGGGTGCCTCCACTGGTGCAGGGTGGGAGGGCTGGGATGGGGAGGCTGGCCCCAACTTCCCATGGCATGGAAGGGGGATGCTGGTGGGGACCCTGCTGTCTCCCAGTTGTGAAAGGGTATGTGCTGGAGGAGAGCTGGTGCAGACACCCCTGTGTGATGCGATGCCGCCATTCCTAGACAGCAGCTTCACACACAGCTTCAGCGTGTGCTCGTATGAAGGTGGCCACGTATTTCATTTGAGATGTCTCTGCTCAGGCAGGGCCAAGCCCTGCTTGGGATTTCTTTCTGTAGTTTTAGATTTGCATCAACAGCAGGAAAACCACTTCAGGCCTCTCGTGATGGTAGGGGCACAGTCAGGGAAACTGCCAGCAAACCCTCCTGTCTCAGCCCATCTGTGGGAACAAAGCACTGTGGCTCAGTCCTGGCTCTGGAGCCAGCAAGCAGAAGTACAGTGGGTTCTCCAGCCCCTGCAAAGGCCATGCTTGGATCAGCTTGGGGCAGTCAGGACCTGGGTCAAATGAAATGGAGGTTCCTCCTCCAGTCTCCTGAGGGGGGCAAGCAGTGGACCTCTCCCAGCACGAGAGACCCTGTGCTGGCCTGTGTGGTGGGAGCTGTGGGGAACACCTCTTCCCCACTGCCCTGGGAGGATGGTGAAGGAGTTAAGCTGGCGTATATGGTGGTAGAAGGCCAGAAGTGGAGATTCACCATGCAGGAGGGGGGGCAGAGGAGGGTGGGATGCAGAGGCGGCTGGGATGCAGGCTCTGCAGGAGCTTTGCTCCTGAGCTCAGGGGTGAAGGCAAGTGTTTTTGAAGGGGCACAGAGTTGAGAGCTTATTAACACCACCAAGCTGCACTCAGAACCTGCACTACTCCTTTTCCTCTAGACTGTTCCACGTGGACCCTGCACCACAGGAGGTTGCTGGAAAGCTTGGGAAGGGCCTTGGTGAGCTCCCTAGAGGAGAAGTGCTCCTGTGGCATCTCTGAGCTCTACCTGAAAGGTTGGTGCCCTGCTCTGCTTAGCCGGTTTGCAGTGTCCTTCCTCAACCACCCACAGCTGCTCATCATCAGGATGGTCCCTTCTTAAGCCAAACTTGCAGGCTTGCACTGGAGTGAGGGGAACTGGAGGAGCAGTGGTGGGTATATGGGGTTTCAGTGAAGAGAGCTGGAGAGAGCCTGACACAAGCTGCCTACTAGTGGAAGGGCAAGCTAGAGGGACTGTGAGGCATGGAAGTGCCTGATAATGCCTGGAGATGTCTGCTAGCCAAACTGAATATCCTAAACCTGCAAAGCAAAATGCCATTTGCACTCTGGAGGACTCCTGTTCTCAACTCTTTTTCTATCAGTCTTCTTCAGTATCCTATATTTATTCGAAGTACTTGGACCAAAAAGTCACTTCTTGAGGTTTTAGGGACATACAGTTTTTGAGGGATAGGAAGAAATGTTTCTTATATTTTGGCTGGTTTTGTAAGGAAATGAAGGGTTCACAGCCATGCTTTGTCCCTGTTGCCCAAGTACCTTTTTGACCCTTTGAACAATTTTAGACAATTCTCACCAATGGGTAGAGATCATGAAGTTACCAAGTGTAGTACAAAGTATTCTGCTGGGCTAGGAGGACAACTCCAAGCCCCTTTTGTCACTGAAAGAGAGCTGAGCATGTGCTCAAGTCACCTGTAAGATAGCATGGCAGCGTGATTTCAGAGAGGTGGGGAGAAGAGGTTGAAGAGCATGGGAGCAGGAGGGTGTTACTAGAGCAGGGCATGAAGTCATGGGAGCATGTTCCCAAACAGCTGGAAGGTTTCCAACCACCTCCCACCCGCTGTTGTTTCTCCGCAGAGCTGAACCTGACATGCACAGACTCCCTGGTGAAGGTCTGGGGCCAGGTGTGGGCTCGGCAGCCAGAGCAGCAGCAATCCATTGAGACCTGGCAGCAGGGCTTCCTGGCCAGCCCCCATCCCTTCTCTGTGGATGGGAGAGTCCTGAAAACCAGTCCTGAGTGCATTGCCCCCAAAAATGCACCAGCCATGTCGCAGCACAGCAGTGGTGAGTAGGAGCTAAGCACAGTGATCTGCTTCCAGCACAGTCAGCAGAATCACAGAATCATCTAGGTTGGAAAAGACCTTGAAGATCATCCAGTCCAACCAGAGCTGGGGCCAGGGTCAGACCATATGTCCACATGAGTGGGGCAATGAAGGGCAAGCCACCTCTGATGATGCTTCAAAACACACTTTACCTCTGGTGATGCTTCCCAAACACAGCTGCCTTCTGGAAACTGGTGGGTCATTACGAGAGGTAACGATGGTTCGTTCTTCCAGTGTGATGGGGTAGTCAGTCCTGTCACACCAATACCTCTGGAAGTTTGGGTGTCTAAATCTTCTCATGAGACTGGGCTTCACTGAGGATCCCCTTGCTTTTGGAGCTGTTGGACAGACAGCCCAGAAGCCCTGAAGGCCAACTGCTTAGAGCAGTGGCTGACACCCAGGCTGGAGCTGGCCAGAGCGGGCACACCACAGAGGATGCAGCAGGGGAGTGGAAGAGTGGTCTCCAGAGCAGGGGTCTGGGGAGCCCAACCTGTTGTTGCCCAGAGAAGTTATGGGTGTCCCACCACTGGAAGTGTTCAAGGTCAGGTTAGAGAAAGCTTTGAGCAACCTGATCTAGTGAAAGATGTCCCTGCCCACGGCAGAGGACTGTACTAAGTGACCTTTAAAGGCCCCTTCCAAACAACCCAACCCAAGCCGTTCTGTGACTGTGAGCCTATGACCTCCTGGTGGCACCCTGTGCTGGGAAAGGTCATGGCTACAATTTTCTGTCTCTGCCTTTGTATCCTCAGCTTCCTTTCAGGGCTGGGAAATCGCCCTGTTTGTCATGGGATCTCTCCTGCTCATGTTCTTGTTGGTCGGCCTGACATTTTATGTCATCAAAAGGTGAGGAACCACCTTCCCATCTGTCTTGCATCTCTCACACTCCCCTTCCCCAGCACTTCCTCTCTAATTGCTGCACAGGGACCTGCTCCTTCACCTATAGATGTAGGTGAACACCTACATTCAGATGCTGCATCCAAACACTCCAGTATGTTGCTCCTAATTTTTGCAGCAAAGCCCCTTTGCTTTTGATGCAGCAGATTGCAGGTTCTGCAGGTTAAGACAACCACCAATAAACCCACAGGTAACGCCAGGCATGTCAGTGGACACAGCGTAAAGGCCACCAATCTTGCAATGTGCTGTGGTGGGAGAGCAGAAAGCTGAAGGCACATGGCATGCAAGGGGCAGTGAGAGATGGTGCTTTGGCTACAGGGAAGAGGTCTTCCTTAGAGCAGGGTGGAAGCAATGGAGAGTTTAGGATTACTTTAGGATTAAGTAATTACTCATCATTCCTTAATGTTGCCAGCAGGCAAACAACAGCTTAACACTTAGGCTGTATGTTTCTCTGAAATAAATATTGTATTGGAAGGGTTATTTAACAAGCACGGGTGACTTTTTTCCAGTAATTTTTACTAGTCTCTCATAATTTGATATGGGGCTGATGTGCAAGAGTTAGAAATTACATAAGTTCTTAAAATAGATTTGGGGAATAAAAAACTCAAAATGTATTTTTTAAAAGGAATTTTTAAAATACATCAGATTTAGGGAAGCTCCTTCAGAAACCAGGGTGATTGATGTATATGTGCCAGGTGATGGCAGGTGTTCTGCTCCTGGATTTCCCCCAAATGTTAACAGAGACCTTAGGAAACTGCCTGCTGCAGGTTGGTCATCCAGCCTCTTCATTGTAAGTGCAAAGCTGAGATGCAAATTAGCTGCCTGGTACAAAAGAGCAGAGCAACTGATCTTGCATTTTTCTTTGTCTGTTGCTTTTCAGACATCCCCAAAATTACACCAACATCGAAATGAATGACCGTGGGGAGATTGCAGCAGACTTCTAACACTCCTGGGCACAGCTGCAGCAGCAGGGTCTAACAGCACTGGGGCCAAGCGTGTCTCTGTGAGGGACAGACTGGCTGTCCAGCTCCCCCATCCACAGGGAAGGACCTGCAAATGCCCAGATGTATATATACATATATGTGTGTGTATACAGCTCTGTGTGTATGTATGTATACAAATACCTGAATTATTTTTACACTTCTAAATTTTGACCTCAGACTCAAGGTGTTCAAAGAAACAGGCTGGGGACCAATTCTAGGCAAAATCTGTGCCAAGTGTGGTGACCAGAAAGACAGAAGCCTGCTTGGCTGATACAGGATATCCTGTCTCCCCTCAAGATTCACTGCTGGGTGATGAACCAAGGCTGGCAGATCTTTCCACCCAGCAGGCAAATCCAATCTCTAGTCCCCCTGGACTCCACTGCTGCAGTGAAAGTACATCAGCCTCCCCTGAGCCCTTCTTGTCCGGGCAAGGGGTTTTCAGCATTGTGCCCCTCTCTGCTTGAGCAGTTCTGCACCAGCAGCCTGCACCAGGAAGAGCCCTTCCTGCTGGGGATCACAACCAGTAGGATGCCCTGCGTGGGAAGAGAGGTTACATGAGAGATGCATACCCAGCTGATGACCAGGTACAACTCTTACTCATATGGCCCTGCCCGTATCCTGGCCAGACAGCGGGCAGGACCAATGCCAGACTCCAGATCTGCTGAAATTTTGAGGTTAAGGAGGGTGGCCTAGGTAGAATCTGCTCAGTAAAAGACTCTTTCCTACATAAGTGTGATATATCCCCAACGGTGCAGCAGCCGACACCAGGCCTCCAGTAGGATCCCTTGTGTGCGGAGTGGTAGTCTCACCTCATGAACACCCTGCACAGCTCCGCGCACGGTGACAGCACCCATGACAGATCCAGCCTGCTCACTGGTAGGGCAAGGGGTAGGTAAAATGAAGAAAGAGATCCCACACTGTTTCTGAACCATGGTGTATATAGTTTTACTGAACAAGGCTCTGCAGAGGGAGGGCACAAAGCGTTTCTGTGATTGCTCGTCACAGCACTGACCCTTGGGAGAGGAAGCCTTGCCTTTGCTTTGAGACCCACCTACCTGTTGTGCCTCTCTTAGTTGCATCTTCTGCTTGCAGGGAGCCTGTCTATGCTGCTGAAGTCCACGGGCCACCAGCCAGCTCCAGTGCCAGCCAGGCTGGGTAGCACAGCAGAAGTGAGTCCTGAGCTCTGCACTGCTCTGCCTCTTGTGCCAGGCAGCCCCTTGCAGTCAGCAGGGATGAAAACATGTGGCACCAGGGACCTTCTCTGCTGGGTGCCCCACATAATCCTCAGGCAGCCCCTGAAAGGTGGTTCTTCCCAGCTTCATCCCGCCACCAGTGCGGCACTGCTAAAGCACAGCGGCGTGGCCTGGGGTCAGATGAGCTCCATCTTGAACTGGCTGAAGTTTGGCACAGTGGGTGAGGGCTCGGCCATGCTGCTGAAGGGGACACAGGGCTGGTTCGCTGGCACGGCCCCGTGGCTCACAGTGGAGCTGAGCTGCTGCAGCGTCATCAGCACCTCCTGCTGCAGCCGCTGCTGATGCTCCTGCTGCCGCTCCAGGCGGCACTGCCTCTCCAGCACTGCCTGCAGGGCCTGGCTCAGCTTCTGGATCTCTGTCTGCACAGCATCCAGCTTTTCGGCAATGGCATGTGAGTTGGGAGCAGGGGGAAGCACTGGTTCGCCCCAAGCAAGACTTTCAGTGCCAGGACTTGTGGCGTTCAGCAAAGGAGTCTGAGTGCTGGTGTCTTTGACCTGGAGTAGCAGGAGAGGAGGGAAGGTGAAACGTTATCAGCTGCTCCTTCAATGGCAATTATCAAGATTTATTCTGCACTTAGCTACAAGGCATGAGAGAAAGCCATCACCTTGTTGTGGGCCTCTAGACCTCACCATGCTCTGAGCTGCACTTCATGCCCACCCAGCCCCTGTGCCGCTGCTCCGCAGGAACTCCACGCTGCCCTGCATGCTGCCAGCATGTGCTCAGTCATCTGCTGGAAGATACTGCTTGATGGCAGCTGGGCTGCCCGTGCTGATGTGAGGCTTGTGTTTGTTCTCTGCAGGGACAGAAATAGAATATCCTGGGTTTTTCTTTCCAGCCCCTCCATTTTTTGTATTGCAACTTGAAGCAAAGGGTTGTTCTGCTCCCACAGAGGGATTACTTGTTGGTTTTGAACCCCAGGGGAGCCTTTCTCCTGGAAAGGATGTTGAACAACCTGTGCCCTCTCAAGCAGCTGGCAAGGGCCCCTGACAAACACCTGAGTAGGCTGGAAAAGACATGTGCTGTGTCTGAGCAGAGACAGGGCTGTGGATGAAGGCTCAGCCTGATTCATAGCTGTGTTTTATACCCAGGATGAGAGAGGCAGGTGCCAATGTCCTACCATCCTCTGTGGGGCAAGAGCATTGCCCATAAGTGAAGTCTTCAGAGGTCAGAGCCTGCTCTGAAAGGGTAAACCTTGAGCACTGGGGCAGCCCCACGGCCACAGTGCCCTGCTGGCAGCATTCCCAGGGCTGGTCCTGGGACCAATCGGTCACTTACATTCACCCCATGGCTCGCCATGGCTGCCAGCAGTCGGGCTTGGCCATGGGGCTGGCCAGCTGGCTGCATGCTCACCATGGTGGGCAGGATGGCTGCAGGACAAGGACCTGCTGGGACAACACATGCACGGCCACAGCCTGGAAGCCTCATGGCACAGCGAGGCAGGGGTGTATGTCAGGGATTACAGCAGCTGGACATGTCCCAGAGGCTGGCCATCCTGGCTGTGTCACCCCATCCTGGCTTGTCACAGCTCTGCATCTCCTGGTGTCACACCAAGCTGCTCAGCTGCTGGTGTCCTTGTGATGGCTTGGGGAACCTCCTGAGCTGGTAGTGAAACCAAGCCTTAAAGAGGGAGTCTGAGCTGCAGGTTGGAGGCCAGTGCTGACAGAAACCGGCATCGCTCCAGCCAGCATCGCCCAAGGGCAGCAGTGAGTGCTGGCTGCAGGCAAGTGGGCAGCACGGCCCCGGCGAGCAGAGGGGCTCCCCAGAAGAGCTCACCAAGTGCCAGGGTCAAGCATCACTCAAGAGTGCAGCTAGCAGAGGTGGGGAGGGGTGCTTCAGGAGCCTTTCATCCCCGATAGCCTGCCCCATCTGCACAGCTGAGATGCAGAAGGTGCTGTGTGGGGCTGTCCCAGCAGGCAGTACTGCACTGCCTCCTGCCCAGAGCAGATGGGCCCTCCCATACCACCTGGTATCCCACCTTTTTCTGCAGGAGGATAGCCTTGTCCATGATCTTTTTCTTCACCATCAGAGCTGGGTTCCTGGCTGAGGGTGCAACCAGCCGCCCTCGGCTGGTCAGGGCCTGTGGAGGGGTGGACGAGACCCCCAAAGTGGGGCAGCTCCCCAGAGCCGAGGGGGTGCCTATGGAGCCATCACCACCTGCAAGGGACAGTGAGAGAAACGCCTCGAAAGGAGACCCTTGGGGGCTCCGCGGCAGGGGGTGGGGAGCCCTTTCCCCAGCCCAGCACTGCTAGGGGTGGCCATGGTGGCAACCCCCCACAGGGAGCCAGGCCTTACCATTCCCAGGGGGGAGTCCTACGGGCAGGGCCTCCCCGAGCTGCCCACCGTCCTTGCAGAGCAAGGCCCTGCTGACAATCTGGATGCTCTCCTTGGTGTCTTGGCTTCCAGCAGGGCAGGGTGCCCGGCTACCCACAGGGCCCTCACCAGGCACCCCAGGCAGCCGGGCACTCGGCAGCTTGGGTGGCTCAGCCTCATGTCCCTGCAGCGGGGGCCAGGGCTGGTCCCCGTCCCAGCCAGCTGCTGCCAACCCCGGCTCCACACTCTTCCGCTTGAGGAAGAGGTAGACGGCCTGCGGCGTCACCCGGATGTCGTCCAGCTCCAGAACCTTCTTGATCTTGCGGAAGCTCAGCCCGGCCCTGCGCAGCTCCACGATCCTCCTCTTGGCGTGGTCGTCCAGCCGGCCCATCGCTCCCAACACCGCTCCTGTACGCAGCACCTACATCCCGGGAGCACAGCCGCTGCGGGGATGCCAGCAGCCCACCCCGGGGCAGCACTCAGCCCCGGGATGATGCTGGGGTTCTGCTAGTGCTCTGCCAGGCTGCTGGCCCCGGGTCTGCACAGCACCATCCCCAGCTTCCAGCAGCAGCAACCCAGTTCCCAGACAGAAAGGAGGAACAAGGTGTTTTTTCCCACCAGAGCGACTAGGAACAGCCCCAAACCCCTCTCTTGCTCACACGGAGCCCCCTCTGAGCAGGGGTCCAGCCTGGTTTCTCTGGTCTGCCAAGGGGACAGAGAATGGTAACAGGCTTGGCTCTAAACAGTGTCCCAAACTGGACATCAACTCTGCAGTGCCAGCAGCACAGTGAGGAACGTGGAGCAGTCAGAATCCTGGAAGCTCAGTACAAGTCCCAGCAAGCAGCTGTTCGTCACATGAGACAGGCAGGTCCCCACCAGAGCCTCATTGTCTCCTTAGTGGCCTGGAAGGTTACGTTGAACAGAGCCGGGGGTGCCCACATTGACAACTGCTGCGTGGAAACTGTTGGTGCTGCAGAGCCAGCCCTCTGGGTCTGGAGACAACACTGTCCCATACCTGTGAGAGAAGAGAAAAGAAACCATTTATATACCAGTTGTAAAGAAGGCATAATTATAAATGTAATGACTGTACCTCCTGTACCTCCCCTTTCTCCCCACAAACACAGCCTCGGCTGGTGGTGTCAGCCAGGGGACAGTGGCTCAGGACATGGTCGCACTCGCTGTGTGCGTGGCTGTGTAGCAGGGACTGCACTGCTGGTACTGCCCTGCACAGCACTGCCTCTGGGTCACGCCCAGAGCAAAGCAGTGTGGCAGGACCAGCCCCTTCCCTTTCTGCAGTCATCACAGCAGGGCTAGGTCAGGACCGACAGTGCTTGGAGTTGTGTATATGTGCGTACGTACACACTTACACCTACATGGGGATATATACATAAACATGTATGTGCATATACAAGTATGGTGGAGGGTTTTTTCCACTTCACAGAATCATTCAGGTTGGAAAAGACCCTTGGGATCATCAAGTCTAACCATCAGCCCCAGTCTACAAAGTTCTCCCCTACCCCACATCCCCCAACAGCTCATCCAAACGACCCTTAAACACATCCAGGGATGGTGACTCCACCCCCTCCCTGGGCAGCCTATTCCACTCTCTGACCACTCTTTCTGTGAAGCATTTTTCCCTCATGTCCAGTCTGAGCCTCCCCTGTTGGAGTTTAAAGCTGTTCTCTGTTGTTCTATTGCTAATTCCCTATGAGAAGAGACCAGCACCAACCCCTCTGCAATGTCCTTTCAGGAGCTGCAGAGTGATGAGGTCTCCCCTCAGCCTTCTCCTCCTCACACTGAACACTCCCAGCTCCTTCAATCTCTCCTCACAGGATTGATTCTCCAGGCCCTTCCCCAGCCTCGCTGCCCTCCTCTGCCCTCGCTCCAGCCCCTCAAGATCTCTCTCCTATTGAGGTGCCCAAAACTGGACACAACCCTCCAGGTGTGGCCTCACCAGTGCAGAGCACAGGGGGACTGTCACCTCCCTGCTTCTGCTGGTCACACTATTTCTAACACAAGTCGGGATGCCGTTGGCTTTCTTGGCCACCTGGGCACACTGCCGGCTCATGTTCAGCTGTTTGTCAATTAGAACTTATATCAGCTTCCTTCATCTGCAGGCATTTCTTGGACACTCAGTGCTGCAGCTGCTGCCTAAAGGACATAATTTTGGGTTTCACCTCACCAAAATAAAGAGCCTCCAAGAATTACTGTAAAACAGCAAAACACTTCTCAGATTAGCAATGTATAATTGAGGCTACCTCAAGTGGTCCCTGCCAAGCCAATTTGATATAGGAACCTTTTCCAAACCCCGCTTCCCCAGACATACGTGGACCTTAAAAAGGACAATAATATTTTGCTGGCCATAGAGGCAGAGACTATTGTACATCAGCCACAGAAAGCCACAGGGAGAAATGGAGCCACTTAATTTGACACAGGAGCTGTGCCTCTGCATTTTACTTCTTCCACAGCAAAAGAGAGAGACATTAACTCCAGAGATATAGATTGTACTTCGATCCAGATCTGTTTACATCTAAAGGCTGCCCCATGCCCTGCTATGTGCATTAGGGACCTTGTAGACAACAGCTAGGGGAGAGTATATAGGAGAATAGATGTCCCTGGATGCAGACACCACAATTGCAGAGCAAGAGGAAAAGGTGAGACATACCCAACATTCCCTATGCCAAGGGGAGATGCTACTAGGAAACCACCAATTTGAGCTTCTTGTGACTGAAGGTACAGGAAGCTCAGGCCCTGGCAAGTACTCTGCCCTCCTCTAAGAGTGTTTCAGGACACAACCAGAGGATACTAGAGCAAAAGTAAAGCAGTGCAACTATCTGAACAGTCAGTGACAGAAACATGAGGTTTAAATAAATGCCAGGAAAGCCAGCACCCCATGCCTGCAGCCTTCATCAAGTCTCCGCATGGGAGGAGAGATGATGAGAGGACCTTGGAGATGGTACTGACTCCACACAGCATCTCCTCCAGCTCGCTCGGTACCATCCCCAGGTGCCAACTCCTTCCTCCTTGACCTGCTCCTTCCCTCTGGACCCTCCCTAGCCTTCCACAGAGCTCCCACTGCCCTGTCTTCCCAGGCCTGGGAACAGCCCATCCCTGCCCTGTTAATTCATCAATTTGACATTCCCAATGCAGGGTGTTCCCCTGCAGCCCCTCCATGTCCTGGAGGGGCAGCAGGATGAGAAGTCTGGCTGGGACAGCTCCTCCCTTCAGCACATGGCTCACAGGATGGCTCCATCCCAGCAGCACATGGCTGCAGGCAGCAGCTCCGTATCATCAGCACTCCAGGGCTCAAAGCTGGCTTCATCCAGGTTCCTTAAGCTTCAAGAACAGTACTAGCCTCTGCAGCAGGGCTTTTTAAAAATATGTATGTACTGATCAGAGATAGACTGTGACCTGGAAACCCATTTCAGAGAAGACACTGTAAAGTAGGCTGTGGGGTCAGAGTCCAGCTGGCAAGCAGGAAACGAGTGCAGGCAGAAGGGCAGGGCAAAACCCAGCTCAAATCCTGCTCACTTAGGCCATGAGGTTATACAAAGCACACAGCAGCTACTCTACCCTGTCAGGTAGGAGAAAAGGGTGACCAATGAAAGCAACAGGTCACCCCTCCAGGCCATAGAGTATTCTATTTCCTCCAAAATCACAACAGTCAGCCTCTCTGACAGCTTGGGTCTAGCTCCATCTCTAGTTACACCTTTATTTATCCAGGTCCTGCTGCAAACTCAGTTTTCCTGTACTAATTGTGTTCCCCATTTCCACGGGTGTGTCCATCACCTTCTCTTCCTCCCTCTCCAGAGCAGATTTTCTCAACAGAGCTGCAGCCTCTCATGCTCACAGCTTATGCAACACAGCTGCTCAAGTTACACATTCACAGAGATGAGACCTTTACACTCACCTGGCCTAAAAGATGTTTGTTACTCTCCAATAATTTTTCCACAAAGTAAAAAAAAAAATAAAAAAATAAAAAAAAAATCAATCCAATGAAGAAAAGATTCAGGGACTTTCCTAGACTTCAGGGATTTCACATCAGGGATGGAGTTCCCTTCACTTCCCAGAGCCAGGCTAGGGGTGACATGGTTCCTCTGAAGGTTTCTTACACTACTCAGAAGTTAATTCAGTGGTGGCTTTAGAGGGGGACAGGAAAAGGGAGCACATCAGTGGAAAAAAATTCACAGCACTGCAATCCTGTGAGCTTGCTCTCTGCTTTTACCCCTCTTCATTTCTATGCATATCAGGAAAACAGAAAGGTTTCACCTTCTCCAGAAAGTCCCTGGAACAATCTCATCTGGGCTGACACAGCCTTTGCTGTTTCTACAATAAAGCAACACCACAAAGGCTGCTTGGCTTGGAGGTTTCCACACAAAGTACAGGGGCTGTGAGCTGTGTGTGAGCACTAGAAGTCCCCTGTTCCAAAACCACAGCTTGTCTCCACCTGCCTGGCTATCACATTGTGCACCAGCCACAGCTGCAAGTCATTCTGCAAGCCCTGATTCTGCAGTCACGCCTGTGTAGACACATTATCATTCCCCTGTAAGCTACAATAGCTTCAGTGTGATTCCTCATGGACCTGAAAGTGTGCTTCCCCCACCACAGCCCTTGTTTTGTAGTGGGAGGGATGCTCACAGGGGGAAGATGTGACTGGCTTACAGCTGCAGCCAGAGAGAGCTGACACACCATACCACAGGCTCCAAGTTTTGCCCTTCCTTCGGTGGGCTGGCTTTTGAGACCTCACCCAGCCAGTTGGACACACACGTTTGTGTGAGCAGCTGCATGTTTTGTTATACAGCCAGGCCTGCAAAAGGCATTTCACTTCAGCCTGCCAATTTAGGCATCAGTCCAAATTTCACATCAACCACCCTTTCTTCAGCTGCTGCTGAACCCTTGCTATGCCTGAAGTTATTAAATACTTAGTTGTAGCTGGGAAAAGCTCCTTTAACCAGGCAGTGCTGCTGGTAACACTTCTATTCTCTTAACTCTACACACAGTAATATCCACAGAAACACAGACCAGAGCCTGGAGCAACCCTCATCACTGGGATTATTTCCTTAGGTCCCCCACTGTCTGGCCCACAAAATACCATATACAAAATGGAATAGCCTCAAGAGAGAAGGAAAAAGAAGGCAGCACTCATGCACACCCCAGAGTTCAGGGCAGAGTGGTTTTAAGGTCTGAGGAGGAGGAAGAGCATGAATCCAAGTTTCCTACAGCCCAGGTGAAGTTACCTAACCATTAGCCTTAGGGCAAGCACCAGGCTTTTCCTCTTCACCACTTCTTTCTGCACCAGCACAAGCCCGTGTTGGGAGGAAAACTCGAGGAAGAGGAGTGCTCCAGCATCCCTCCTGCAAGTCCCTCTGGGTGAAGCTCCCTGCTTGCCTGCACACACACCCACTGGCTGCACTGCCACCTGTTTCTTCCCCAGTGTTTCTGCAGCCCTGATTACCTGGGTTTGAACACCAAGTTCCCCAAGATCACTTGTATGACCAGAGTTGACTCATGTCTGGGAAGATTGACTTCTCTCTTCTGTCTCACAGCTGTGAGTTTTCTCTTGGACACAGGCAGGTTTTACCCTGACGAGGTGCATGCAAAGCTGCTTCTGAAATTCATGCTGGGTAAAGCAGGGAAGAGTCAGATCCCTGCAGAGTTTTCAACAGGCAGCAGTGCCGTGCAACTGCTTTACCCTGGGGTTGTATTTTCTCAATGGCTATTTAAGTCGTCAGGGTCAGCTGCATGACAGCACACCTGTGCTAGCCTGGCCCTCGGGGATGGAACGGCCTCAGGGAGATGTAGGCTTAACCAGAGCAACAAGCTCCAATCCATCATTACAGAAGCGGCACAGCCACAAGGGTAGCAGATACCAAGGTGGAGCAACACATCTTATCAGTGAGACAAACTGCTGATGCTGAGAATGGGAGAGGGAAAAGCTGCAACCCACAGTGAGCAAGAAGGTGCAGCTCATTCTGTCCAGTCTCAGTAACTGAAAACAGACATTCATGATGTTAACATCCCAATACACATTGGACTCAAGAGCTTGCTGTGCTGCAGAGAGTGCAAAATACTCTGGCCCTAAGAAGGACCATGAAGGACAAAGATGTGGGTATATCCCTTTCCTTTCAACTTCAACTGCCTTTGTACAGTGCAAGGCCAGTGTACCCAGGGGTATGGGACAGAAAACAGTTTGACTGATTCATAATGGATGCGCAGGGCATCCCAGGCTATGCAAACCCATGAAAATAAAGAAGGGGAAGGTGTTATCAAAAGAGGATTAATCCTCATGGACCCTGTAAGGAGCCACACTGCCAGACCTCTCTTCACCCTGGGCATTGTGGCTGGTAGCAGCTCGATGAGGTCCTCTTTCCTGCCCTTCTCTTTCCCTCTGATTTCCAGCCCTCCTTTGCAGATCCCCAGCACACCTGTGGGAAGCTGGAGCAGCTGCAAGCAGCTGGGGAAGGACACTGATCCATCCTCAATGGTTTTATTGCTTTCCCACAGCGTTCTAAATAGCCACTGCAAAAGCTGGCAAGATGAGTCCTTTCTCACTCTGCAGCAGCTCAGAGGGGAAAAAAAATAAATTAAAAATATCCTCCAGAAGCACAGAGTATAATGCTGGTTTACACTTGATTCAGATAGGACACGGATAGTTCTCAGCTCTTCACCTAGGTAAGTTTCACTGCTGTACAAACACACTGGAAAGTCTTAGCTCCATTGGAGACAGGTAATCAGAAAGAACTGGCAATGTGGTTTAATGGTACTAAGTCTGGAGGAAGATTAACATTATTAGGTGTCCTATGCTGAAACGTTGCCGAAGTAGGAAGATCTGTGCCAGGGAAGAATGGCCATTCCTCACAGGCTGCAGTTTTAGCCAGTGTCACTGCTTTGCAGGACCTGTCAAGCCTCACAGAAGAAATAACATCTAACAAAACTGACTGCCACCAGCCATACAGACCGCTGTATCCCACGCTACAGAGCCCTGCTTTTCTTTGCCAAATCAGTGAAAGAGCAGCTCTCTGACAGGTTTTATTAAAAGATGGGCCAGTTGAATTTAGACAGTGCTGCTGTTACCTGAGCCGTGCTGACTCCCCCTCTGAAGGGATAACATCGTAAGAAGCTTTTTAATGAACTTGTACTTCAGCTGTCAGAACAGCAGAGAAGGAAGGCTGTATATCTGGCCCAGGATTTGGAAGTGAGCTATTTAGAGCCCAAACCTAGCTTTGCTCTGGCACCCTTGACAACTGACCAGTTCCTTTCAGCTCCGCTCGCAGAGCAGTTGAGGAGCTAGCACCCCGTCAGGCCACACTCTAAAAATTAGATCCTCAAATGGAAAACACAAAACTTTAAGGTTCTACTTTAAGGTTTGCAGTACACGCAAACTGAAGAAAGTTGGGTCCCTGTAAGGTTTCTTTGACAGTTCTGGGGTTTGCAAAACAAATTTTGAGTAGGATGATACAGAGTTTGCTCTTGGCCCAGACGATGCCACTACAGCTTTGTGCTAACTGGGGAACAGGGTATAAAGATAAGGTTATAGGATAAATAGGAGTGTGTACATGTAATGAGTTATTAGGATTGTTTAGGGGCATAGGGTAACAACCATATAAACAGAGTCCTCACATTTGAGGAGAGGAAAGGAGGCATTTCAGGAATGCTGAAAAATCCACAAAGGGCCCAAGACACACAGCACAAAGCAGTGACACTATAAAACCACGCTGATGGATGGCTTTGTACAAAAAGGTTTTGCACTCAGCTTTCCTACAGTTCAAAAACCACAGGTCAATGTCAATGTCAACCCCATTTCACATAGTCTAACAAATTCAGGTTGTGGTGCTGTGCCTGTACCTGGTAACAGGTATTAAGAAACAATCTGAAGGGTTCCACCCTGATATTAAGGGCTGTGGAACCACAACTTGAAGGAAGAAAAGGCTTTCACAAACCACCTGGAAAGGCCTGAGGGGAAGGGACAGACTGGATTTCACATCCAGGCTCAGAAATCCATCTCTGCCCTTGGAGTGAACAAACTCATCAAGCTGAGCTTAAGTATTCAGACAATAACAATAAATGCCCTGCCTTTACCTGTACAGTCACCATTAGCCTAGCCTCTTCTTAAAGTGTTTTGCAGGTTTAAGTTTCTGCTCTCCAAAGATGCAGCCCTTCCAGCAGAAAGTTGCAAAGGCTAAACCACAAGCATACCTTGAATTTCTAGTGTTTTTCACATGCCTGAAGATGAAACAAATAAATCACTGTGAAGTGTACTGTAATATTTGTTCCTTGTGGTGAAACCAGGACTTCTGAGGAAGGTTAACACTGAGCAGGCATATTCCTACAGCCTTAGGGCATGCTATGTAAGTGTTGCAGGAAAAGAGAGAAAAAGCACACCGTGGCACAGTTTTTAGGCTAAAAGCCCTGAAATACAGATGTGTGTATAGGCACATTAAGGTGCAGACAGTCCTGAAGTCTTGAGCTGTCAGTGTGCACTGCAGGAATCAGCCTCAGACCTCGAGAGGGCAGGCCTGACGTTCAGAGACTACAGCTGAAGACTTAGTTCACCTAGAAGTGTTTCAGCTAAAATGCTAATTCACCTCCATCTTCAGATTAGAGAGGAACCCCCCAAAAATCTCCTTTTTCTGCTGTTCCAAATCTATATAGTGACTCAACAGGGCAGTTACTAGAAACTCGGGCTGATCTCAACTCTCTGCAGAGATAACCAAGGCTGTTACTACACGTTAGGATGAAAAGTTTCCAACCTCTCAAAAGACAAATCCCCCATCCTCTCATTTCTCTAATGAAGCCACACAGTCCGTATTCTCTGAAGCCAGAGACACATCGAACCCTCCTCTAATACAGGTGTAGAAGGTGTGACAGGCTGAACAGGGAGATGGACCAAAGCTCTCACAGCAACAGGGAAGCATCAGCATCAAGGGCTGAATACTGCAGCGCAATCCCTACAAGCACGAAGTAACGCCTGGTCTCCCCTGTGCCTCCCACGATAAACGAACCTGTGGGTGGGTGCTGCTGTTGGCAAAATAACCCACGGATCACCTGGATCTTCTGGGGCTCGAGGAGAGCTCTCTGGAGCCACGCCACCATGGCTCCACAACCCAAAGCCAAGCAACAGGAAAGGAAGATGAAGCACTCGCCTGCAAGATGCTGTGACACACAGGGCAAGCGCTTACAGCCTCAGGTGGCACTTAGAGACGCTGACACTAAGCACCATCCCCCACGGCCAGCTGAGCGGGTCACCTGCAGAGGTGGCAGTAAATAGCCGGCTCTCGTCACCAGCCTGGAGATGCACGAAGGAAGGGACAGCAACACAGGCAAGATCCAAAAGCAGCACGGATGGAGCTCCGTTCTTTCCTTTTCAGCCCGTGCCCGGTGCTGGGGGCTCTGTAACCCCCCCGCTGCGTGACCCCTGCACGGGCGATCCCCGGATCAGAGGGTCTGGCCTCTGCCGAGGGTTGCTGGGCGGGTTTCGAGCTCCAGGAGCAGCCCGAGGGCAGCTCTCCCGCTGGGGCCCGGCTCTCCTGGCTCTGACG